TTTGCACTAAATTAAATGCCTGTTATTAACACGCACATTATGCACAGAAAAAAGTTCACTGAGCTAGTAAGAAATGGCTTGCAAACAGATTTAGATTCAGATTTTTTGGGGAAAAACAAGACAAAAGGTATTCATTAAGAGTCTGTAGTTTAATGTTGTGTTCGCTCTGAGAGGGAAAGAGTAGATTTGGATCTCTAACTAACTAACTAACTAACTAACTAACTAACTAACTAACTAACTAACTATTCATTAAGAGTCTTTGTGGTTTAAATGTTGTGTTTCCGAGAGGGAAAGAGTAGATTTGGATCACTAACTAACTAACTAACTAACTAACTAACTAACTAACTAACTAACTATTCATTAAGAGTCTTTGTGGTTTAATGTTGTGTTCGCTCTGAGAGGGAAATAGTAGATTTGGATCTCTAACTAACTAACTAACTAACTAACTAACTAACTAACTAACTAACCAACTAACTAACTAACTAACTAACTAATCATTAAGAGTCTTTGTGGTTTAAATGTTGTGTTTCCGAGAGGGAACGAGTAGATTTGGATCTCTAACTAACTAACTAACTAACTAACTAACTAACTAACTAACTAACTAACTAACTATTCATTAAGAGTCTTTGTGGTTTAAATGTTGTGTTTCCGAGAGGGAAAGAGTGTGGATCCCTGTTTCCGTGCGTCAGAGTTGCTTTGGCATTCCAGTCCTTGTTCTGGGATAATCAGGCATGGAATGACCGGCATGGGTTTGTACAGACATGCCGATGCCTGTGGCTTTCACTGAACCAATACAGTAAATCCACATAATCCCTCTGCTAGAAAACATCAGTCTGCCAGTCCACTCACTACCAAACTATGGATTTTGAAGTTCATTTTATTTTTTATGAACATTGTTTTTCAAGCTCTTGCTTGATTTTCCCCAGAGGGATAAAGATCTCATGGCGATGCATTCGCATTAGGAATCTCTCAGCACTACATGAGAGACGGCTTTCTGTGTGCGCAGAACAGAGAACAGATTGAGTTCTCTTGCGTTTGAATGGTTTAAATCACACTACGGGTGTGTTGACTCTTGGCCGGTGCGATTTGACCAAAACGAACTCTGGTGCGATTTCTCTGTTAGAGCGGTTCATTAGAATAGACGTGAATGCAGCATCATTAAATGTTCGGTAAGGTCCGTCACAGAAATCTATGCCATAACAACCATTTCTTTTTGCTTCGTATCTTTGTTCGGTGGTAAAAAAGAAAGTGTGAATGTCACAGTATGGGTTTGTGTTTCCCTGGTTCACCACTAGAGGTCCTCCTCCCCTACGGTGTCAGTCACATTAGAAACGGCATTTCCCACAATCCTTGTCTGTTCTCATCATTGTTCATTGCACCCAGCTGTCACTCATTATGATTGTTAGTCTGTGTGTATAAGTACCCTGCTTGTTTAGTGTTTGTTACGGAGTCCTTGTCTTTTATCACACCACGTCTGAGTTCTGTTCTGTCTATTCATTGTTACTTGTGTTTGGATTGCTTATATGGATATTGACCCCTGCCTGGACTGGTTTGTGAGTACGGATTTCCCCATTAAAACTTACTGCATTATTGGATCTTTTGTGTTTCCTGAGTGTGGATCGTGACAGAGAATGCATGAACCAGGACTAAATGTATCATTTTCTTTTAGGGTCCAAAAGAGCCAAGCGAACCGAAGTGTGAACACACCCTAAAATGCACACGCAGGAATCAATAAATGGAATTTAAATTTAAATTTTATATCAAGTATTCGATTCCCCCAATCACCTTTTCAGCCACAGTAGTTTTAGGCATTTAGCTGGACTATATTTAGTTTTTGATTTTCTAATGTATTAAAGGACATTTAAGAATCAATTCTGTAACGACACAGGTGATTCCCTCTATGACACAACTAATTTCTGAACTCTTATATGACGCCGCCTGAAATATTTCTTTTCATGTGTTCAGCCTCACACACTACTATATTCAGCCTCACACACTATATAACAACTGATGCTTTTCCCATTAGTGATGCGAGCTGAGGTAACTGGGGAGAAGATCTTACCCGGAGCGACAAATATAGACGGCATGGGAGAAGTTCAATATGACATCAAAGTGATGAAGGTGAGATAAAGTAGCCTATTGATGATCATATAAATGTTCTGCTGGGAATTATAATGATCTGATAGTATGCTTTTCCTGGGACAGATTGGACTGATGTCAAAACCAGGAGTGTGTTTCCCGAAAGCATCGTTAGCCAACTATAGTCGCAAGTTCCGTCGTTATCAGCAGTTCAACGAATCTGTTTCCCGAAACCATCGTTCCAACGAACATTCGCAAACAGCATCGCAGAGTTGTGTGTTTGACAGATCTAGATCTCGAGCTGTGGTTAGAAGCAGAGTTTCCAGTTTGCATGACATGTGGACTCAATAAATCCTGATCTTGAGCAAAATAAGAAAGCCGACATTCAGTGCAATCTATATCTTTTATTTAGAACACATAGGCCTACATAATGTCATTTACGTCTTTTAGTTTGTCAAGAGATTTAAAGTTTCGTGTTTGAAGAGCGCATGTGTGAACGAGCTCTAGTGTGTAAGAACGAGCCTATGATTGAATCTGGAAATAAAGCAAAATAACTAAGAAAAATTAGATATATTCCTCAGATGACATGTTCGTAAAAATAGTAAAAAAAACATCTCGCATTAATTCGATCTCAAACACATTAATTAAAAGTATTATTACTCCAACACCAGCGTGACATTAACCAACGTGATTGAACGACCAATTTGCGACGATACGGTTTCGGGAAACAGTCGTGACTATTTCTTCAACGATGCATCGTATAGTAGTGCAGCGAGTTACGGCGTTGTACGGGAAACACACACCCCTGAATAGTCCATGATTAAAATGGAGAGTTACAGTCTTTTTAGGTTGTCGACACATATACTACGTGTGACGTGCTTTGGAAACACGGTTCGTGAAGCTTCGAAACCTGCTGAAATCACGTGACTTTGGCGGTTTGATACACGCGCCAAATCACTGGTTCGAAACAAAGGATTCGAAGCTTCACGACGCGTTCCTGTAGCGTCCGACAATAGAGACTCTATTTTAAATATAATATTTTTTTAAAAATGGATCTGCAGACCCAAAACACAATACACTGCTATACAATACCAACACTGGTGTTACAAAATCATGGTTTTGCAGGTGTTCAAAGGTTCTTCTGACAGAATAAAGAAAATCAAGCATGCCTCTACTAGTGAGATGTGTTCAATGTGTGGGATCAGACTGGATCACGGCCAGTATCTGCTGTCAGGTAAACACAAAGTTCAGTCATGAAACTCTAGATGGCGCAGATAATATCGTGATTGTTAACTGTCACTTGGCGCTCTTTTTTTTTTTTATTGCCTTTTTTCGTATCACATATTTTAGTAATCATTATAAATTAGATATCATTCGAAAGCTCAGAAATGTATCCTGTGAAAACGTTTTTGAGATTGGATGTTGTCTTATTATGGAAATGGTACTTTAAATTATTTTAGCTTCTTCCCTAGTGGGCGGAGTCAGGTTACAAAATTATTTTAACTACTTTATAATCTAAACTTTTCTAATCTTGACACAACCCATATCGTTGGAAAGGTCTGAGTCTCATTAATTTACTGCTCGATGACCCAAGACTCGCTGTATGTGGCTTGCCATCGGCTGCATGACATGTTCCCTGGTTTGCTTTAATGTGTTTTATGACTTTTATACATCAACAAGTCAGGCCGCTCCAGCTATACAACGCTGCGAAGGTAAATCAAGTTCAGATCCACATTAAAGAGTTTTTAGGGGGACTCTTCACTGATTTAACAGGAATTAGGAAACACTGACTAACATTATGAGTGGACCTCAGGGAATATAAAACAAAAATGAAATATACAATATGTTTGCTGTCCCTTAGGAGAGTTCATGTATGATGAGGGAATCTCCATTACATTGTGCGACCTCATTGTGCGCTGGGACAGTCTCTCCTTAATGCAGAAGAACCACATCAAATACAGATATCAGAAGGGCTGTGACTGCAAGGTAAGAACACATTTATTTAGAGATGCAGGAAATATGTTCATTTTTATGTTATAGTTATCGGCCCAATAAAAATAAAAATTGGCCGATATATTAAATAATGTATTTCCTTCAGCTGAAACACTTCAGATGTGCTCTGTTCAAAATGATGGTTTTGAGTTGCATGAAATATGATTAAAATCAGTTCAAAAAAGGAAAGTGCAACACAAGTCTGTCATATCGGTTACATAAATTCCAGTCAACATGCCAATTGCACGCTCCCTCAAAACTTGCAACGTCTGTGGCATTGTACTCTGTGATAAAACTGCACATTTTAGAGTAGCCTTTTATTATGGCCAGCCTAAGGCACACCTGTGCAATAATCAGCATCATGGTAGCACGTAATGCTCTAAGACTTAAAAGTGCGCACTGAGAAAATTGTCAGATTGTCAGATTGGAAGAGATTCGTTTAGAGGAATTGAGACAGACTGCAGAACATCAATGGACTTTATGTCGAACTGTACAATATACATCTAAGTTAAGACTAGTCATGATTGATAGTGTTGACTGGACAATCTGTGTCTGTGTATACTAATTTATGAAATATAACTGGAGGCAAACACATCAAACAATTAATGTATATTCATCATACGGTCTAATCCGCATCTTTATATTCCACACCTGTGAGGTGGATGGATTATCTCGGCAAAGGAGAAGTGCTCACTAACACATATTTTGACAGATTTGTGAACAATATTTGAGAGAAATAGGCCTTTTGTGTACATAGAAAAAGTCTTAGATCTTTGAGTTCAGCTCATGAAAAATGGGGGCAAAAACAAAACTGTTGCGTTTATAATTTTGCTCAGTGTAAAACAATTTTCACATGTTTTATGTTTTGGATCATACACAGTAAAAAAACATTGGGTTATTTTTTTAACCCAACCGTTGGGTCACACATATTGGGTCACTATGTTGGGTTATTTTCCAATAATGTTGGGTGTTTTCAAATCGTTGGGTAATTTCTAGTAATAACCCAATGCATTGGGTTAAAATAACCCACAGTTGGGAAGGTGCTATACCAGCCCATAGTTGGGTTACTCGTTGGGTTATTTTTGACCCAACATTTTAAGTGAGCAGTTAAACAGGTTCTAGATTACTAAGAGAACCACTCATTTACTAATTCATTTTAATGTCCAAACGTGAAGGTCTGAGTGTACAAAAACATAAAGTATATATTATATTGTACTGTAATATATTAATCTGCAGATCTCCAGCTGCACTGATCAGCCCTGTCAGCCCAGCTCTGAGAGCGAGTGTGTGTTTGTCGAATTGTCTTCCTCATGGTCAAAGTTCGCCTGCATCAGAAACAGCGGCGGCTCCTGCAGCTGGTACACAGGAACGGCCAAAAACCACACACACACACACGCCTGATGTCTGCAAACCATACACGCACACACACACACTGAGTATAATTGCATAATTGCATAGATTATTAGCATGTCATATTACTGTAATGCTTTCATATGACGACACATTGTTTCTTTTAGGTCATTTGATTTTCTAACTAAAAAGAAATGAAGAGCAAAAAAAAAAAAAAAAAACTCAGAAATTCAGCTTATTATTTTGCATTTTAAAAAAAGGGTTTACAAAAACACCGTTTTCAACTGATCTGTAATGCCTAAAGAAATCAGGAAGATTTTGCATGGGCCTTTCCTACATTTACACTTCTAAATTAATCTTTAGCATGTTACAAGTTATCTGCATAATTTTGGCTTGCTGCAGTTTTATGAGGTATTTTTAACAAGTAATAAAACGTTTAAAAAAGGAAAACATGTCTCTATATCTCTCTATTATGAAGCAACGCTCATGTTTTGCAATAGTTGTTGTGGTCGTTCTCAATAAATCATGCGGATTGCGAAACTGTTCATTTAAGCATGAGATGCAGCTAGTTTAGTTTAGTTTAGAGTTTAGTTTAGTGACAGTCAACAAATTCACACAAATCACTGTTTCCATAGATATGCAATTAACTATTAAAAAGTTCTGTGTGTAATAAGCATCTGTATAGCATGTTGATACATTTGTTTGTTGTTAATGGCAATGTCTTAAATGAAATGCATTTATCTAGTATTGCTTTCCACTTTTGTGTTCTGATGAGCTTAGAGTTAAAAACTGACAAAAAGATAATTTTAAGACATTTTGTAACAAACTGGTCGAACAGTCATTGGGGACTCTTGTGCACAGCCGACCACTGAGAGTCAACAGCAAATGAATAACAACAGGGAACCGGAAACAACAGGAAATGATGTCATATCAAGATGTCACGAGAAGCATACAAACAACTTAGTTTGCTTTCACAATGCAGAAATCATCTCTTCAAGATTGTAAAATGATGATTTATATTGAAACGCTTTGTTTTTATGAAGGAGCCACGCAAAACAAAAGCAGGTAACGTCTGGCTTTAGTTTGAGATAATCTTGATTTTCATGCACTAAAAAGTATAAATACTTTAAGAGTGTGAACTTAATGTAATGTTTTCAAATGTTTAACATGTTAATTGCAATAAAGGTTAAATTTACATAATATTAAATGCAATTAGATGAACTTATGTTAAAGTGCTAAATCTTTATATCATAATTACTTCTTGTGAAATAGGGTTAAAGTTCCTGCTGACCGTACTAACGTGCATTTATGGTAAACTAAAATATACTTCAATGTTATTTCTATTGAAACTTGTATGGCGTGCATTTAAAGATACTTGTTACTACACATTTGTAATGACGAAGTTGCACTTAGTACATTTAAAATATACACTCAAAAAATGCTGGGTTGTTTTGGGTCAAATTTGGACAGACTCAAACATTGGGTTAAAAATGTAATAAAAAAAATATGTAACCCAATGGCTGGGTTTGTCCATATTTGACACAAAATTGGGTTAAAACAACCCATTTTTAAATGCTATATCAAATAACACATACAGTTAACATTATTATCAAGTACTCCACATGTGCTTCAACACATCAGAATAAGTGCACTTCTTTAAAGCACAAAAAAAGATTATTAAAACATATGATTACTAATGTACTTTAAAGTAAAACTCTGTAACACTTTATTTTTGACAGTGACCATTGCATATGTTACATGTCGTAATGACAGTAAATTATGCGTAATTACATGCAACTAACCATAAACCAAACTGTACCATACAGTAACTGGCCTTAGATTTCATTAAAGGGGACATATAATGCCATTTTTGTACAAGCTAATATGATTCTTTAGGGTCTAAATTAAAAGTTTGTAATATACTTTAATAAAAAATTATCATTAGTATTGTAAGAAAACACTTATTTTACCTGGTCAAAAACAGCTCTGTTTTCAGCACACCGTTTCAGTGCATATGCCTTTAAATGATAATGAGCTTTGCTGACTCCGCCTCTCTGTTCTATGCCTACACCGTTTGTAACACAATAACCATAACGTGTTGTTCAGTATAAACGTGGGATTATGAATTATATTGAGAACGTCGTACATAGAAAACATGCCTGTTACGACCTGTGTCTGTGTAGCTAATTATTTTCTTTATTGCTCTGTTCCTTTTCTCTCTCTCTCTTTTTTTTTTTTTTTTTTTTTTTTTTGGATTTCTAATAGGTTGCCCAATGATTGGGGTGAACGAACGCCATTGGTTGTCCAGTCAGGGCGTGGTCTTTATAAGGACGCTGCTGGCACTCGTCTGGGAGCTCATTCTTGGTTCGGTCGCACGTGGGTTGAGAGCTCCGGAATCCCTCCTCCGGCCGATGATCAAATTGTGTATTAGAAACTTTGATTAGTTCAAGTGAACGTGCATTTTGTGATAATCTCTGAACCGTTCTCCTAATGTCTAAACCATCTTAACAGTGTGGAGCGTAGGGGTGTCCTGCCTTGTTTATTTTGTAATTGTTTGATCTCTGTTTTTGGGCAGGGAGTTAGGTAAGATAAATGTATTTTCTTTTGTTATTTGAGTAAGTTATTAATTTCCCCTTTTACTTTTTACGAAGGACAATTCGCAATCAAATGCCCAAGTCCGTGACAGTAAAAACATTCACAGGCTTCAACGGGTATTGCTGGCTTAGTTGAACTTGAACCCATTTTCGGAAGTTTAGCATTTTTATCCGAAGACGGAGAATAGAATTCACGACGCACAGCAAACGCATTCTTGTGAGTCAAAGTAAACTCATCTGCACAGACAGCAGCCTCAGCAAGAGTACCAACTCTCTTTTCGTTCAAATAAACGACAACTCGGTCTGGCAACGAATTTTTTAAATCTTCAATCAACATTAACTCACGGAGATTCTCAAAATCAACGACCTTGCTGGAGTGACACCATCTATCAAAAAGCACAGTCTTCTCCCGCGCATATTCTACATATGTTTGAGAGGCAGTTTTAACATGTGCACGAAACTTCTGCCTATACGCCTCTGGCACTAATTCGTACGCCCTTAGTACCGCACTTTTCAGTTTATCATAGTCCAAACTGTCACCCACAGACAAGGTGGAGCAAACCTCCTGGGCTTTCCCAGTTAACTTACACTGTATCAAAAGAGACCAAACTTCTCTCGGCCAGCGCAACGCAGCAGCTATACGCTCAAATGCGCCAAAATAGGAATCTACCTCATTATCCCTAAATGCAGGCACCAGGGTTAGATGACGACTAACATCGAAATCAGCAAGCTGATCAGACGCCACAGGCGAAGGCACAGAGGGCAAGTGATAATCAACACTAGTGGAGGGTGCGTCAAATTTAGTCTTAACTGAACTGAAACGACGATCATCAGTCTGCGTTTCCAGTTCACACTGCCTAAAACGTAACAATTGAGTAGTGTGCTCTTGACGTTTTATTTCGAGATCTAATTGCTTTAACTGAATAGCCCGTTTTAAATCCCCCGAGTTTACACCACTAAGTGAGCGTAAAACGGGATCGGAACTCGCAACATCAACGCTATCTTCATCACCTAACTCAACGTTAGAACTAGACTGCAAAATACCCTGCTTAATTAACGCAGCTTGAATTACGTTTCGCAGTTGCTTCTTTTTAGCAGTTCTTAAAATCGCAATATCATAGCAATCAGCAATTAAGACTAAATCAAATTTCCGACAGGACTCCAAAACTTCACACGAGGGAGCCTATTTATTACGCCTCTTTAGTGATTTATATTCCCCTAGAGTCGGGGCGTAATAATAATTTATTGCCAATTCAGGGTGCTGCATTGCAGGCTAGATTCTCTGGACCATATTTCATTGATAAGAAGCTGAATGAAACGAATTATGTTGTTCGGACTCCTGATCGGCAAAGAAAAAACTCATGCACAAAATTAAAGCAAAAGTAAGACATTTATTAAAGAATAACAAGTGAAATAAAGAGCAAATCTTCAGGGTGTCCAAAAGGCCAAAATAACAAACAAAACGAATATAAAAAGTAAAAGGGGAAATTAATAACTTACTCAAATAACAAAAGAAAATACATTTATCTTACCTAACTCCCTGCCCAAAAACAGAGATCAAACAATTACAAAATAAACAAGGCAGGACACCCCTACGCTCCACACTGTTAAGATGGTTTAGACATTAGGAGAACGGTTCAGAGATTATCACAAAATGCACGTTCACTTGAACTAATCAAAGTTTCTAATACACAATTTGATCATCGGCCGGAGGAGGGATTCCGGAGCTCTCAACCCACGTGCAACCAAACCAAGAATGAGCTCCCAGACGAGTGCCAGCAGCGTCCTTATAAAGACCACGCCCTGACTGGACAACCAATGGCGTTCGTTCACCCCAATCATTGGGCAACCTATTAGAAATCAAAAAAAAAAAAAAAAAAAAAAACAAGAGAGAGAGAGAAAAGGAACAGAGCAATAAAGAAAATAATTAGCTACACAGACACAGGTCGTAACAATGCCGTAATGTACCCGTGTAAACCTTAGACGCATTCATTGTGAAGCGTGCAGTGCAGCTAGCGATTTGCAAAGATTAATCTAAATATTAATGTAAAGTTTAGTAAAACGTTACACTCACTTCAGGTCTTCTGGAGGTTCAGCAGGAACACGAATAGCTGGTACCGATCCTTTTTTTATGAGCAGCTTCTTAGCAAAACCAGCTTTATACCTCCTCGTTTATAAAGCAGTCTGGTGAGAAATGATTCGCGCAAACATGAGAGCATTGACGTTGCTCGTGGGGAATATTCCCTTCGAAAACAAACTCAGCCACTGCGTCTAAGCGGTTCGGATTTAGGAACATTAAAATGACTGCTGTGTTCGTTATTACACCCAAGAACAGAACACCCCAATCGGGTAACACTTTATTTTAAGGTGCTTGTAATAAGCAGTAATTAACAGTTAATAAGACACTTTATAAGACCTTATAAGATGCATATAAGATGCATATAAGCATTAACTAATGATAATAAATAAATTAAATTAAATAATACATTTCTCAAGTATCAATACATTGCACTTTTAGAACCGCCGAACAAACATAAATGGTAACACAAACTCCCAGTGCCTTAAAAATTGACCTTCCCAAGAGGGAGTAGTTTCCCTGATCTCTTCAGGGCCTGGACCTTTAATTAACCTTTATATGAAGTAATGCTTATATGCATCTTATATGCATCTTATAAGGTCTTATAAGTGTCTTATTAACTGTTAATTACTGCTTATTACAAGCACCTTAAAATAAAGTGTTACCCCACAATCGCTCAGACGCCATTCTGCTTATAGACAGTGCTCCAGCATATCAACAATGAGCGCGCCGGTCCGCGCGGACTATGATTGACAGCTCGCTCACGAGCGAGGGCGGGTCTGTGTTGAAAAGCTGCTGTCAATCAACAATCGTGGGAGGGGCGTCCGACCGTGTGACGTCACACGGTCGAACGGCTTGATTTGAGGCAGGGGTAAACATATAAGGAGATTAAAACAAAAACACTGGATAGATTTTTATCATTATATGATGGTTCACTACAAGTATATTTGAAGTTCACTACAAGTGCACATTCAGTACTATTAAGCACACTACTTTTACAGAAGGGTGTAATTTCTGTAACCAGGACATAATAACATAACTTATCTAAATTTATAATACATTTTTTTGCCATACCATTTAGAGTTAAAAAACAAATAAACTAATATATAGTATACAAAATAACCAAAGGGCCATATATTATTATTATTTATTTATTTATTTATTTATTTTTTGTGTGTGTTATATTTAGAAGAGAAGCGCTGAGTTTTTCCTGCATGTTGGCGGTCTCAGGGCTGAAGTGAATGAAAGCGAGGTGGTTCTGATCTTACCATGTCCCTGTAGTTCGAGTAGAACGTCTGATCAACGAGAGGGAATTTATCCGCTCCCAGTTTATTGTAGGTGCTGATCAGCTGAGCGAACTGGAACAAAACACAGAATCCGTTTGGGTGAAAATGATGGCAAAAGTTGAAATTGAGTCAGCTCACAATTATAGACAAACCCAATCTGATTCAAATAACATGCAAACCATTTTTGAGATTTTTATTAAATGCGTCGAGTAATCCTCACGAAACTGATTTCAGACGGACTTCTGAGGCAGCGTTACGGTTTAATGATCTGCAATAAAACGCTAAGCATACTACAATAGTTATTTATCTATATAGTTTTTTTTTTTTTTGGTTCAAATAGAGATCATGATTCTCCTAAGATTCTGAACAGACAATTAAATAAAATAACAGATTCTGAAAAAATATTAATTGCTGCAGTCTATTTGAAAATGTTTAATTAGAATGAATATATACAAAATTGGTTTGAGTGAATGATCCAATGACTCACTCATAAAGACTTCACTTGTTTCATTGCAAGCAGGGTACCTCCATGTTACAGAACCTAACAAGTGTAGACGGCGAGGACCAGCCGGCCGCTACACAAATGTCTTTAATCGATACACCACTGGACCAGGCCCACGAAGAAGCCATGCCTCTTGTGGAGTGGGCTCCAGCGCCTATGGGACACTCCTGGCCCCCCGAGGCGTATGCCAGGGAAACTGCGTCCACTATCCACCTCGATAGTCTCTGCTTCGTGACCGGTGACCCCTTGGTGCGGCCGCCGAAGCACACAGAGCTGCTCCAACGGCCTGAACTGTGCAGAATGCTCCAGGTGGACTTTAAGAGCTCTGGCGGGACAGAGCGAGTTAGCCTCCCCGTCGTTCTCTGAGGGGGAAAGAGCTGATAACATGATCACCTGCACTCTGAACGGAGTTGAGTGCACTTTGGGTACAAGGACCGTGGAGAGGTCCCATGCCGGCATAGAAGGGGGCCGAGGGAGGTTCATCCTCCTGGCCCCTTTGAGGAAGCGAACCACAAGGTCACTTTTCCCTAGTGATTGGCCAGCCATGGGAGCATGGTAGGCCGCCATGGCCCCCACATACACTTTGAGCGTGGAGGGGGAGCACCCCGCGTCCAAAAGCTCTTGCAGAAAGGAGAGTACCACTGATACCTCACATGACTGGGGGTCGGGGTCTCTAGCTGTGCACCAGCTGGTGAACACTGACCACTTCAGAGCATAGAGACACCTAGTAGACGGTGCTCTAGCCTCAGTGACAGTATTCAAGACTCTCTCTGGGAGGTCCCAGGATACCAGTTGAGGGGCCACACATGGAGGACCCATAAGTCGGGGCGAGGGTGCCAAATCGTCCCGTTCGCCTGCGTGAGGAGATCCTTCCTCATTGGTGCAGGCCAGGCGGCTGTGTTCAGCATCTGCGCCAGCTCTGGGAACCATACCTGGGTCTTCCAGAGGGGGGCTATTAGGAGGACAGAGCATCCGCTTTCCCTGATCCGCTCGATGACCTGAGGAATCATAGAGACAGGAGGTAAAGCATAAAGCGGGCATCTGGGCCAGGAATGGGCCAGTAAGTCCCTGTAAGTCCCTGTTCTTTGAAAAGAACTTTGTGCAGTGAGTGTTGCTTTCTGAGGCAAAGAAGTTGACCTCTGCCCTGCCAAACACACTCCAGATCAGATGGACCGTCTGTGGGTTAAGAGACAGTAAGTCCGCACCCAGATTTTTGATGCCCGGGACGTGAGCAGCTCTCAGAGAGCGCAGGTTGGCTTGTGCCCAAAGGAGGTTTCTGGCCATGACATACAGGTTGCCTGATCTAAGGCCTCCCTGGTGATTTATGTAGGACACCACCGACATGTTGTCCGTGCAGACCAAGACGTGTGTGTCCTCTCAGGTCTGGCAGAAACACTTTTAGGGCTAAACAGACTGCTCTCATTTCGAGGCAGTTGATAATATGTAAGCTCTTCTCCGGGCTCGACCAGAGCTTGACCTAGGTTGGAGGCGTCCACCAGTCCGGGGCTTTCCAGGGAGCCAGTGCTCTGCCCTGGTTCACCGTGATTTGCAGGAGTCCTGAGTGCCACGCATGGGCTGGCACACGGCGTTTCAGCCAGTGCTGTAAGGGGCGCATATGCAGTAATCCCAGGTGGAGTACTGACGATCCCAAGAGCCTCTGAAACTTCTTGAGGTGCGTGCACGCACCTGCCCTTAAGGAGGCTACTAGACGTTGGATAGAGAGAGCGCACTCTGGCGTGAGCTGGGCTCTCATCCGTGTCGAGTCGATAACGGTGCCCAGAAAGGTTACGTTCTGGCTGGGTGACAGTCTGCTCTTGGGAAAATTGATCCTGAGCTCAAGGCATTCCAAATGACTGAGGAGCCAGGATCTGTGTGTCAATAATTCGGTCTTCAACTGAGCCAGAATGAGCCTGTCGTCGAGATAGTTCGGCACATGCACTCCCCATTGTCTCAGGGGGGAGAGCGCTGCGTCTATGCACTTCGTAAATGTACGGGGTGCTAGAGACAGACAGAACGGTAGGACCGTGTATTGATAAGCCAGCCCCTCGAAGGCGAATCTCAAGTATGGCCTGTGGCTGAACATGAAAATAGGCATCTTTCAGATCCACAGTGAAAAACCAATCCCCGGGCAAACTTGTGCGAGGATTTGTTTGGAAGTTAGCATTCTGAATGGCCGTCTCCTGAGGGCTCTGTTCAGATGGCTCAGGTCTAAAATGGGTCTGGTGCCGCCATCCTTCTTTGGTACGAGGAATTAGCGACTGTAAATCCCCGATTGGCACAGCGAGGGGGGTACTTTTTCTATCGCCCCTTTTGCTAGCAGATTTTGCATTTCGGTGCGAAGCACGTGCGCCACGCTGCTTCTCACCGAAGTCTCAACGACCGCCTGAAATCGCGGGGGTCTGCGAGCGAATTGGAGAGAGTAACCTCGCTTTATATTGCTCATTACCCAATTTGACACGTCGGGGATGGCTTGCCAGGCCTGGGCCCGTGTGGCTAGGGGTGGAATGAAAATTGGGGGTGGGTCACCTATAGGGCTGTGTATCACCAACAATGTCACGATACGATACGTATCACGATACTAAAGCCACGATACGATATGTATCACGATATGGATCAATTTGGAATTTAAAGTTCTTTTGAGCTGAGTTTAGTAACAGTAATATCTGCTTATTGAATAACCAGTGTTATAACAGTTGTGATAACTGAAAAACAATGAGTTAAATGAATGAAAAAGCTTAGAATGGCTCTTCCTTCTGCTTTTAAAGTCTGCCTCAATAACTGAAATGACAATTATAGTGACACTGAAGCATGTCTACACTGCTCAATGACTAAACAAAACTTAAAACATTCCACAAAAGCAAAAACGGTAACAACTTAAATTTAACTTAGTTTTCTCAAACTCTTTTAAACACCTAGTATTTAACAGGTCTTAAGTGTTGGAATGTGCACCAAACAAAGTCATTTCTTCTACGTTGAAATCATTTTAAATGATTACATTTTCAATTTTTTTTGCAGAAACAACAATTGATTGACATGCTCAGGGTTAAGAGAGTGACAGCAGAATATCTCGCTTAACTTCATCATGCAACCGGGGAATTGCCGTTTCTGTTAAAAACCTTTATGCTTATTTAAGACATAACCAACTGTGTTTAGAGGATACTTACCAAGAACGAAATTTTTTACATCATTTTGCGTGTTTTAGTCTGTTAAAGCGATATAATCTCGCGAGCTGTATGTGAGGCGGCTTTACTCTAGTCTATGTATGCACGCAGAGAAAACCAACTCTCAGAGAGCGCGCAAGTACTGAATAGTTTAAAATCGTTTGAATGTTTAAACTGGTAAGACTTAAAGACATGCAAATGGTAAACTTTAGTCACGATGGCCCGATTATGCAAGTGAATATTCCGTCATGTCCCGACTCCTAACCGTGAGCGTGTAGTTTCACCGGCTGCAGCGCTGGACGCTTGCCCGAGACGAGAGAGAGAGAGACGCAGCACTGCATTGAACTCACGCTGTTTGTGAAATTGCGTCTCACAGAAAGTTTTAAAATGACTGATTTGATTTTATAATCTGTGTGGATTCATTTACTAATACTACAACCTACATGCTAAAGTGAATCAATGTTTCCGGGAATTTCCCGCATTATAAACTGCGGGAATTATTCAAATTATGCGCAATCCCGCGCCGAAATTCGAGCCCTTGGCTACATTCAAAAGCACAAAAGTATCGATACGGCAGCTGCTGTATCGATACGCGTATCGCCAGGAGTTCATGACGATATATCGTTGTATCGATATTCTGAGCACAGCCCTAGTCACCTAGCATAGGGGGACTTATTACCCTTGTGTTGTGTTTTGTGCACAGACTCTCTGCTGGGCTGGCTTGACAGGCCTCGGCCCGACTGGACAGAGATATAACAACTGGGGGTGGGCCGCCTAGCGAAGGGGGACCGGTTACCCGATGTTGTGTGTTTGAAACGTACTCTTTTTGTGCTTTATTTGGGTCACTGTAAAAACAGCGTTTGTTTGTAGGAGCGTGTGGAGTGCGACGGGCCCATTGACTACAATAGAAGAATCTCCAGCCGCCTGAGCTAAACAGGGAGATCTAAGTGAGCTTTTTTCGAGACTCAGACCCTCTCTTTTCCCTCCTGCTGCTAGGAGGTCTTCGGAGGCTCAGGGTCCAACACAAGCCTGGGTCGGGGCGCTGCGGGTGGCGTCAGCCGCAGGGCGGGGCTGAGAGACCCGAGGCGCTGGCTTAGCTAGCTCCGGTGTTTATATCCAAACTACGTATAAACTTTTATCTTTTACCTTTTAAGGAAAAACACAGTTGAATAAAAGCATACTCACAGCCCACGGTTTGTCACAGAGGTTGTAGATGGACTCGAGTGAGTTGACGCTCGGGATCCCGGCGTACTGTAATCCGATGATCATGTTCCTGAAGTCTTCGTTCTGAGCCATGCTGTACGCGTGCTGTCTGACCAGGACGAAATCAGGCTTGAAGGACCTGTGAGAATAATAACACAGACACAGCAAAACCTGTGAGAATAATAACATAGATACAGCAACACACACACACACACACACACAAACACACAAAAACACACACACGCACGCACCCATTGGCTTTTGGTTTGCTTAGTTGGGGACATTAAATTTAACATTTAATTTAATATTCAACAATATAATTGATCTCCTGCATTGACACCATTATATGAGAACTGTACTGAGCTGGACGATGACATCACTGTTTACTCCAGAGCGGCTATATATAAATGAACTAAATTAATAACTTTTTTACAACAAAAATGAAACATCACTGAACTTACTGAAGCTGGACTATGACGCTCTTTTATTCTAGAAACAAACTTTGTTGCATTATTCTCCTGTTATCTCTGTGAAGCTGCTTTTAAACACTCAGTATTGTAAAAAGCGCTATATAAATAAAATTGACTTGACTTGACGCTCTCTCTCTCTCTCTCTCTCTCTCTCACACACACACACACACACACACACACACACACACACACACTCACACTCTCATCTACAGCATCCAGTCAGTATGAGTAATCTGTATTTCTCACACACACCCACGGTCTGTGTTTATGGTAAGTTGTGTTTCGGCTTCCTGTATTTTAGCGGAATCACATGTGGTCGTCGTGACAGTAAATCACTTCAGTTCAGATCTTACTGTCACAATCTCGGCTTTCACCACTCAAAGTCACTGAGATTTCAGCTGTGGACTTTTAGGTTACCAGTGTTTGTAACCAAAATTAATTATTTTTTGAAAAAGAAAGTGCATTAGGCTAGCCTGGGTTTCCCCATACTGCCTTACCGCAGCGCGATTCAATTCACAATGAGATTGGGTCTGGCGTTAGCCAGGCTAGCATTAGGCTACATTTTTGGTCTATTTACTTGCAAGAGAAAGATATAAATCTTAAAACTTAAAGTTAACATCTTTAAAACCTAATTTTCAGCTTAGTGTGTCTCAGGTAAACTGGTCGAACAGGTAAGGAGAGTTAAGTGTGGATCTATATATTTAATAATAAGTTATGTAATAAACCAAACACGAACACAGCTTACCGAACCACTCTGGTCCCGTTCCTGATGACCTGCATGTCGACACTGCATGTGCCGTTCGCATGAGCCACGAGGTTGAGCTCGGAGAACTCGGCCTGAAAATATATAAAACATGATAAATCTGCAGTTATAATTATGACAAGGGTCTCAAATACAATATGCATATGTTTAGCAGAATCTGCCAAGTCAAACTGAGATCATAAGTAGGATTAATTTATAGGATTATTATATGTACAAAACACCTGAAAAATTAAGGATAACAGGAGTTCATGCCTGTGACTGTGTGCTGCTTCTGTGAAGATCTTTCTGAACAATATCAAAGTTTTCATCATGCTTGTTCATCTGTGTTTAGTGTGTAATGTTGCTGTTTGAGTTATATAAAACTCCAGTTCTCTTACGAGAGGTTCTCTCGTATTGCGTAAGCTAGCTTACGCAGCGGGAAAGATTCATCTTTGCTGAGAGTTTGAAGCCAAAAAATTATTTCATAATTTGTATCCATTGACAACGCAGTTCCTCTGCGGCAGAGCTAGAGCAGGCTAGCTAGCAGCTCATTGGTTCGCTCAGAGAGAACTGCTTAAGCCTATGGGAGAGCGGGGCTGAACCCGCTGCCAATGAGAAGCGCCCGCGCGCTCATTGCATCATGGCCCGCCAGAATGGGCGTGGCTATGGTGTATATAACAGTCTCTCCCAGGCTTATATGTTGATTCATTTCATCTTCAGCAAGCTACACGCTTCTGCTGTCCTGAGAAAAGCCGTCGCCGTCGAGAAGGCATCACTCTAGCGAGCTCCCGGACCCTAAAGAAGCCGGCCGTCTTCGCCACCTTCAGCCGCCCTGCAAGCTAGCGCCATCCGACGACTGTATCCTTCTTTTCTCTATATCTAAAAGAGCCGAGCGTCTTTTTAAAGATGTCTCGTTTTTCCTGCGGCTCTTGCCGCGCTCCTCTCGAGGACGGAGACCGCCATGTCATTTGCGCTCTCTGCCTGGGACTCGAGCACGCAGAACTCGCCCTCGCGGATGGAGGATGCGACTTCTGTGAGAGCCTGCCGTTGTCGTCCCTGCGGGCACGACTTCTGGCGGCAAAATCCGCTCCCGCGCCGCCTCTCTCTTCGCCGCGTAAAAAGAAACGCCGCTCCCAGAGGCCGCCGGAGCCCCCTGCGGAACCATGCGGGCCGCCGCCGCCGCTTCCCGCTTCCCGCTCTCCCTCCCCGCCCCAGCCGGACATACAGTTGCCGCCGAGTGGCCGCTCTATCGCTTCCGATGACGCCGCGGAGGAGAAGGATTCCTGTTCACTGCTCGCGTCAGACAGTGAGGAATGGTCATCTCTCGGATCCACGAGAGAGTCGGCGGGGATCCGCGCCGGGATAGAGGAGGAACTAATGCGCCTCCTCTCACAGGCCGTCGAACGCCTCGGTCTCGAGTGGTCTCCTCCACCCGAGCAGGCCCCGAACCGGATGGACGGCAGCTTTTTTCATCGGCGCTCGACCCCCGCGTGCAACCGGGCCGCCCCATTCCTGCCTGAACTTCACACAGAGCTGACGAAGTCCTGGAATGCCCCGCTCTCGGCTAGAAACCTCTCCGATATATCTGCCTCGCTGCGCTCGGTGGACGGAGCCGCCGAAAAAGGTTATTCAGCCATGCCGCCCGTTGAGGACTTGGTCGCCGCACACCTCTGCCCGCCCTCTGCTAGATGGGGCTCTTCCCCCACGCTTCCTTCGAAAGCTTGCAGAGCGACCTCGAGCTTTCATGCTCGCGCCTACGCCGCCGCCGGTCAGGCCGCCGCAGCGCTGCATTCTATGTCTGTCCTCCAAGTGTTACAGAGCGATATTCTCCGTGAGTGGGCCGAGAGCGGTAGAAACCCCTCCCCCGCTGTCACGGATCTGAGAAGTGCTACGGACCTCGCCCTTCGCGCCACTAAAGCCGCCGCACAAGCTCTGGGGAGATGCATGGCCAGCCTTTGTGTATCCGAGAGACACTTATGGCTCACGCTCGCCGACATGGGAGATTCTGAGCGCACCGCGTTTCTTAACGCGCCCCTCTCCCCGACGGGCCTTTTTGGATCTGCTGCCACGGGAATCGTCGATCGCTTTTCCGAGGTCCAGAAAGCCACTCAGGCCATGAATTTGTTTCTGCCCCGCCGCGCTAGCTCTTCCGCAGGCCGCTCTCGCGAGCCTCCTGCCAGAGCTCCACCACAGCGCCCTCCTCCGCAGACTCAAACAGCCCAGCGCAGACAGGGCGGCCGCCCTCGCTCTCGCTCTGACAGCCGCCGCAGACCACCGCCCCCACGGGGCCCACGACCCAAGATCACGCTGAAGCCTGATCATCAGAAGTCTGCCTAGCAAAGTTAAGAAAACGACGGCGCTCTCCCGCTGCGGCCGGACCGCCGTCAAAGCTTCGCCCTCTGCCAGTCCCTGTTGTTTCGCCGACTGCTGTAGTGTTGACCGCCACAAACAAGCCGGTGTTCCAGCCCGCTTGCGAGCGACAAAAAGCCGTTTTCACGGCTACCCAGAGAAATCTCAAAAAGAGAAAATATGCCAGTTGTGTAGAAAATGTGCCCACAATCATGTGTTCACCCATACACACAAGCATAACATATCCCGTGTCTCTCTCAGAGCCCCATCACATGAAACGGGCACAGCCCGCTCTAATATCAGAGAACATAAACACGCCCACGAGCTCATGCGCGTGTCCCCTCTCTGCTCGCTCTGTTTCACGGCCCATAGACTCCTCTCTGAGTGCAAATCCCGTTGCCACACACATTCAAAGCGCGCCCACACACTGTGTCCAGCCCGCTATGTGCCGCAATCAGGGCGATATAGCCATTCGGCCACTAGCCGCATGCTCCAAAGCGTGGGAAGCCATTCCAGGCATTTCCCCGTGGGTGCTAAGCATTATAAAGAACGGCTATCTGCTACAGTTTCGCCGCCGCCCGCCTCGTGCGCGCGCTCGGCTCGAATCTACTGTCAGCCCGCTGGCCGCCGGCACGCTCCACTCAGAAATTGCGACGCTGTTGCAAAAGGGCGCCATAGAGAGAGTCCCACCATCTATGACCGAGTCGGGGTTTTACGGCCGTTATTTTCTGGTTCCCAAGAAAGACGGCGGCCTCAGACCGATTTTAGATCTCAGGTTTTTGAACAAAGTGCTCATGAAGAGACCGTTCAAGATGCTCACTACCAGGAAACTCCTCGCGCAGGTGCGCCAGGGGGACTGGTTCGTCTCTCTAGACCTGAAAGACGCCTATTTTCAGATCCAGATAAATCCCCGTCACAGGCCATTCTTACGTTTCGCCTTCGAGGGTCATGTTTATCAATACGCCGTTCTCCCGTTCGGCTTATCCCTGGCGCCCCGTACATTCACGAAGTGCATGGATATGGCGCTCGCCCCCCTGCGGAGCCAGGGGCTGCGCATATTGAATTATCTGGACGACTGGCTGATTTTGGCCCAATCACAGACGGAGCTTCTGTCGCACCGCGCAGTTCTCCTCGACCATCTGAAAACGCTGGGCCTCTCTGTCAACTGGACAAAGAGCTCCCTTCAACCCAGTCAATCGATTTCCTTTCTAGGAATAGATTTGAACTCGGTCACGATGACGGCTCGCCTGTCCACACAGCGCGCGCGCAGTGTTCAGCGACTGGCCGCCTCGTTTCAGATGGGCACCCGCACACCTCTGAAAACTTTTTAGAGGATGCTGGGTTACATGGCCTCAGCCTCCGCTGTGCTTCAGCTGGGCCTTCTGCACATGCGCCCGCTTCAGCTTTGGTTAAACAGCCGTGTACCCCACCGCGCGTGGAACACGGGCCGCCAGCTGATCAGAGTTACGCAGACATGTCTCACGGCGCTGCAGCCATGGACAGTAGCAGAATGGTTTCGGCAAGGCGTCACGATGGGGACCTTTTCCCGCCGAAAAGTCATCTCGACAGATGCATCCAACACGGGTTGGGGTGCAGTCTGCGAGGGCTCACCGGCCTTCGGCCATTGGTCGACACAGGAAAGCCCCTTACACATAAACTGTCTGGAAATGCTTGCGGTCGAGAACGCGCTCTCGCGCTTCCTCCCGCTCATTTGGGGACACCACGTCCTGATCCGTTCGGACAACATGGCTGTGGTCTCCTATCTCAACCGTCAGGGCGGTGTCAGATCCAGGAATCTCTTCCTACTGACACACCGCATTTTAGTTTGGTCTCAGAGCCGCCTGCTCTCGCTCAGAGCGACGCATGTGCCGGGCCATCTGAACGACGGTCCAGACATACTGTCCAGGAACCTCATCTCCTCAGGAGAATGGTCCCTGAACACACAAACGGTCCAAATACTGTGGCGGCTATTCGGCAGAGCAGAAGTGGACCTCTTCGCGTCAGAAGAGAACGCTCACTGCCCAATATTTTTTTCAAGGAGCGAGGACGCGCTAGCCCAGGAATGGCCTCGCCGCCCGCTCTATGCATTCCCTCCGATCGCTCTGCTACCACAGGTAATTCAGAGGATCAGGGACACACGCCACTTGGTGCTCCTCATAGCCCCGCGTTGGGAGAGTCAGAATTGGGTTCCGGAGCTCACTCAGCTGTCACAGACAGCCCCGTGGCCCATCCCAGTCAGAGCAGATCTCCTCTCTCAAGCTCGCGGCACGATCTGGCACCCAGATCTGTGTTCTCAAAATGGTGCACCGACAAACATCTGGACCCACGGTCATGCGAGGTGCCGTCTTTGCTTGTTTTCCTTCAAGAGATGCTGGACAAGGGCAGGTCCCCCTCCACTCTCAAGGTTTACGTGGCAGCCGTCGCGGCGTTCTCTGAACCCCGACGCGCTCAGTCCCTGGGCAAAGACGAGTTAGTCATCCGCTTCCTCAGGGGTGTAAGAGGATGAACCCTCCGCGCCCCCCTTCGGTTCCTATCTGGGATCTTTCTATAGTTCTCGAAGCTATGAAAGCACCCCCGTTCGAACCGCTCGAGTCTGTGGACCTAAAATACCTCTCGCTCAAAACCGTTTTTCTGACGGCTCTGTCCTCAGTAAAACGCGTGGGGGATCTTCACGCGCTCTCATCCAGCGCCGCGTGCCTTGAGTTTGGACCGAATGATTCTGTTGTCATTCTCAAACCTAGGCATG